AACTGGAAAAAAAAGGGTAAAAAAAAAAAAAAGACGAAAAAGAAAGAAGGGAGGAAAAAGAAAAGGAAAAAAAGAAAGGAATGTTGCTCTGACTAATGGACATCCGAATAGACACAGAGGGTTGTGGGCCTTAACCCATGAGCATTCGAATAAGGGGGGTATTTTTGCGAAAAGCCCATCATCCTTTTTGTTGTTTTTTTGGGCCTCTTGGGCCGAGGTCCCACTAGCAAAAAGGATAGGATAGAGCTCCTGAATCTGGATGTGTTTTAAGCAGAGCTGCAGAAAAGCAGTTCAATCTCGATTTCCTGCACATCTCCATAAACTCGTCCTGATTCAGGCATACAATCCGATCCTCTTTGCTAGTGGGACCACGCCCCTGATAACATTCAACGGAACCTCTTCTCTTTTATTGGTTGGGTATGCAAGTGGATTCGAATTGTTTTTTTTTTAATTTCTTAAAAAGCCCAGGTTTTTGTAGAGGTGGGATACTAGACGGATGGCAGTCACCCACAGTACTCGGCCACTCAGTTGTCCAGATGAACCCCTCTAAAGACCCCACCCACCCTTCCTCTTATCTTTTTGCCCTGGCGCACCCCCAACCCCCCTGTCCTACCCTAGTGTTAACCACTGACTAGACAGCGGTTGCAGGTACCGGGGCTAAGCAGAGATGCCTACCCCCTGCTCAGCCCCGGTTGAAGCAGAGGCCGTGCAAGCCTGATTGCACGGGGACTTCGGGAGCTAGGTTTGAACATGCTACTACAGGTCTTCATGAGGGTGCACAGTGACTCCCATCTAGCTTAGTTGTATGGTGATGATAGAGAGCTGGGTATCCTCTGTTCCCTCGTATGTCCCTGGAGCCCGTTCCAGCCATGACACCCGACATCCCGTACTAAGGAACTGCTATGCCAGCCTCAACCCTATGCTACGTCCTAGGGGGATAGCCAAGCCTAGGTCATGAGTTATGTACTGAGTTTCTTTATCCTTATGTTGTTTTTTTACTACAGTGTACTATGATGTTGATGGTAAAGAGATGGGGATCCTCCGTTCCCTCGTATATCCCTGGAGCCCGTTCCGGCCCCGCGGTAAGGTGCAGTATCTCCTGACACCCCCGACATCCGTACTAAGGACTGCTATGCCAGCCTCAACTCTAAGGTACGTACTAGGAGGATAGCCCACCTTCAATCGTGAATCGTGGACTTTATGTATTGACCCTGGATAATCTCTAAGCCCTGTGTTGTATGATAATCTGAGAGCAGACAAGCCTCTGTTCCCTCGTATGTCCCTGGAGCCCGTTCCGGCCCTGCGGTAAAGTGCACTATCTCCTGACACTCCCGACATCCCGTACTAAGGAACTGCTATGCCAGCCTCAATCCTTTGACCACGTACTAAGAGGATGATCAGCCCTAAGTTACAATCTGGTATCGAACACAGGACCTTATATGAATCGTGCAAGTGACCTAACCTATTGTCTGTAGCTGTGCTCTGCTGGGCTCGAGTAAACCCGACTATGCAAGCCACCCAGCAGTCTCATGACAACCCCGTAGACCAAGAACATCAGGATACCCACCGTTGCCCAGTCCCCACATACAACAACCATGGACTACCCCTTGGGTGGTGCGCAGGCAGTGTCTGTAATAACTTACCTGCATCATCCCAAGGGTGTGTCTGTCCAGCCGTGCGTCATTCTAACGCCCTGCCGATGTCCATGCGCAAGGCTGCGGAGTTTTGAACCCGCAACCTCATACCGCAATGAGCATTTTTTTTTTTTTTGGCTATATTCTTCTCTCATCTATCTCTTTTTTTTCTTTTCTTTCTATATTCTTCTCTCAACTTCTGTTTTCCTTTTGCCTTCCACTACCTACTCCTAAGACTATCCAGAGGGGACCCCTGCAAGCATAGTTTCCTCTTTTCTTGCTAGTACTCATCTGTCTCATCCTCTCACTAGTCTATGTATAGTACGGGGGAACACCAACCAACCCTCCCCAGCCCACGGGAGAGCAAGGCTGTACCAACCGGTGCTTGATCTGTTATGAAAGGAGAGTTCTTTTTTTTTTTTTTTTTTTTTTTTTTTGGGAGGAGAGTTGATATACGTGCGTAACACGCAGCCATCGGGAAGCTACAGTCGACCATCTTTATAATCACTCTCCTGCTACCTGCTAGCCGTCGAACGTCTGATTACTCCTGCTACTCTTAGGTAACCCTTATCCCTCGTTCCTGTGGGCCTTGGATTCTGCCCACCTAGTCACCCACGCTCGCCCCTGGCAGACAATGTCAGACAGGGTGGGGGAGAGTGGAGAGGCTTGTATGTGGTCGTGTGTGTGTGTGTATTGGGGAAGAGTGAGAGAGAGAGAGAGAGAGAGAGGGGGGGGGGGGGGGGGCGTATCAGTAGAGCATCTCCTGTTCCTTCGGGGAGCTTGTGGTGGAGGCGTGGGAGATGGAGAAATCGTCCAGGTACATTCCGCCCTGAGAGAGAGAGAGAGAGAGAGAGAGAGAGAGAGAGAGAGAGAGAGGGGGGGGGGGGGGGGGGGGAGGCGTATCAGTAGAGCATCTCCTGTTCCTTCGGGGAGCTTGTGGTGGAGGCGTGGGAGATGGAAACACCTGTCTCTTATACACATCTAGATGTGTATAAGAGACAGCAGTATGGTTAAATATCAATTGATTTTTTTTATGTATATATTCACACTGTGAATCGGAACAAGAACGAGAAAGAAAGCAAAAGAACAAAAGGAAAAAAAGAAAGGAA